TATAACGGTTAGGTATAGATAGAGGAGCGCTACGTCAGATTCGACAGTTTTGCAGAAAAAGGCTATGAAGGAGATAGGTTTAAGATTGAATAAGAATTATTAAAAGACATTGGGTGTCGCGACCGCTGTGTAGTGGAGTAGAAAAGTATTTAAACAAGATATTACTTGTTATCAAGATTTTGCCATTTCAACCAAAGCAAAGGTAAGAGTCTACAATCGTTCTTACTATGACACAGAAATCTGACCTAGCGGTCCTCTATGGTACCTAACCGTTATAACGGATGAAAGTAACGTTTTGCGTGGAGAATTTTTATGCCAATACGGTTGGTTGGTATGTTTGTGTGACGCATGAGACGAGTTCTGGATGAACGTGCCGGGAAGGTAAAGAAGATGTATCATATGTTGTGTGATTTATAATTATTAATATTTATTTGTGTTCAAATTTATTTTCATAGCAGGAATAGAATAAGCTTTCATTTATGACAGCCAGCCGTTAACATGACATTGTATGAAATGTGATATCAAACAACGTTGAGCAGCATTTTGTACGTATGGTTTAGTGCGCCATTTCCGGTTACACTTTTGGCGCAGCTTGACTGAAATTACTCATAATTCTCTCTCTTTTACAGATATTTTAAATTATCCGAAAACTGGCCTTAAACAGTAACAAACTATGTTTTGGTTAATACCCGCGACCAGTTATCGACGAATAATTCTATTTTTTTTATTTTTAATTCATTTATGTTTTCACATTAGATTGGTAGATGGCATGAGACAAGAAGAAAAAAATCAATTAAGGTTTGATTTGAATTCTCAGCTACAATAAACTGAGGAAGATGTGGAAATGTTGTTTATTTGTTTCAGAAAACAAGTTCTTGAAATGTTTCAACATGGTTATTACTCATATATGGTAGGTAATCGTTTACAAATTTCCATAATGTTTTGAATTTAGTCACCTCTTTCATATTCGTCTTTGCTGTTAAATGACTGTTTGATGTTAATATTTGAATTTGTATTTCTGACAATGTATCTGATTGTTTTTATAAACGAGCACTTTCCATGTAGTCTACGTTTGTTTTGGCGCAGGAAGATCTTAGACCTTTTCTGTTTGAAGAGACGACATACTTTACTAAAGATGATTCTTTAAACAGATTCTATCTACAAAAAAACGAATGTCACTACTGAGAAAAAAAGATCAATCCACAGTGTATCTAGGATTCGGTCTGTTGAAGAAGTAATTGTAAACACAGATACTGTTTAGAATTTCTTTCAGTTCTCAATACTTTCATTGATTACTTTTTTTAGAAATATGCTTATCCTGCAGATGAATTAATGCCGTTGAGGTAAATACATGGCGTTGATTTGATACCAAAATGTTTAAAATGTCTCTTCCATTTTGTAGCTGCAAAGGCCGTTATCGCGGTTCTGAACCGAATAGGGGCGACATTGACGACGCCTTAGGAAAGTGCGTATCTTTTTAATCTATTTATTCTTAATCTATCCTGTTTCTTGTTTTAGTTTTTCATTAACATTAGTCGATAGTTTAGATACATTAGCAGTAAGTATAAAGTGTATAATATTCTAACAAAAATGTTATTGTGCGTGTTTACCTCTTTAGGTTTTGGGAATGTTTGATGAATTTGAACGCGCAGTGCGATTAGTTATTCAAAATGTTAATTTTGATAGTGATATTGTTGTATCTGTATTTGAAACGAATATTAGAATGATTGGGTACGTTTACTAGCAGTTTGAAAATATTTTGTACAGATTACTATTACACAGAAATAGATGTATCATGAGCATAAGCCCATGAGTTCTATTCCATCTTTCGTATAAATATGATTTGTGTTTGTCTTTCGATTTGCTCTTCTTTCTGTATAAAAAATATCTTTGTTTTTTAGTGGTTTACTTGGTGCACATGTTGCAGTTAAATATGTTCATCTTAAATATCCAATACGTTTTCCTTGGTATAGAGACGAATTATTAGTTATGGCACATGTAAGTGAATAGAGCAGAAATTTAAGATCTCTCACAATTCTATTACGAAACACCGCAATAATACTGTGCGGACTATTCAGTTTTGTCATACTTTGTAGCACTTCTTATATTTAAGGACCTTGGTATTCGTTTGCTACCCGCTTTTAACACGACCTCTGGATTACCACTACCACGTGTTAATCTTCGTTATGGTATTGATTTATCATTGTCAAAAAGTGAACGCGAAAAATTTACGTGTACAGCATGTGCGGGTACACTTATTCTTGAATGGGCGACGCTCACTCGTTTGACTGGGAATTACATTTTTGAAAAATTTGCTCATCGTTCACTCGATTATCTGTGGGATCGTCGGCATCGTCAATCGAATCTAATGGGAACGGTGTTGAATGTGCATAATGGTGATTGGATTATACGAGAATCGGGTATCGGAGCGGGAATTGATTCGTATTATGAATATTTGTTCAAAGCATATGTATTGTTAGGAGAGAAGAATAACGATTATCTATTAAGGTGAGCTTAATAAAAGTAGCAAAGTATATTCGTCGTATTTTTGCTCTATTATTCATTGTGATTGAGTTTGGAATTGTTTATGTTTTTGTTTAGATTTCACAAGCATTATGAATCAATTATGGCCTACGTTCAGCAGGGAGTCGCAATGGTCAATGTTCATATGCATCAACCCTATCGTTTGGCTAAGAATCACATGGATGCATTACTAGCATTTTGGCCTGGTCTACAAGTAATGACCGGTGATTTGAAGTCTGCTATTGAATTGCATGAAATGTTGTATCAAGTTGTTCAAAAACATAATTTTTTACCAGAAGCATTTACGACTGATTATAGAATACATTGGAATAGCCATCCGCTGAGACCCGAATTTGTTGAATCAACATATTTCTTATATAAAGTAAGATTTTTATCTTATTTCGAAATGATTGTAGACATGAAAGTATAATATGTGATCGATTCTTACCATAGATTGGATCTCTCAAAAGGTATCCTGTACTGGATAAATTTGTATAGTTGTTTAGCATAGGATAAAATTTTTCACACGATAATGTGTATTTTTCTTTGTATCTTTTTAGGCCACTCGAGACCCACATTATTTAGAAGTTGGGCGTACAATTGTGAATAATTTAGAACGTCATGCACGTGTCAAGTGCGGTTATGCTGCTCTATCCGACATTCAAACTGGTCAACATGAAGATCGAATGGACTCGTTTGTTCTAGCTGAAACATTTAAATATTTGTATTTACTTTTCGACAATGAGCAGTCTCAACACATTGACATTGAACAATTCATATTTTCAACTGAAGCGCATTTGTTACCAATGAATTTGGGTAAGACAGATACTGAAAGTTGGTAGGTATGTTTACTATAAGAGGAAGACTGATATATTTTCTCAAAGAATGCAAAAATACTCAACTAGTCCAGCACTGTTACTTTTCTTTGTATTCGACACTTTATAAAGCTCTATATACTGTACTCTAAAAACATGCCTATTCTCGTTTATAGTTATCACTATTAATGATACATTACGTATGGAATTTGATCAATTAGCTTTAACAAATTCGATTCGATATGATACTACGAATCATTCTCTGTTGCTTGATATCGATCAGAGAGACGGTGAATTTGATACAGACTCGTATTCGACCGAATTTGATTATAGAAAAGTTTGTCCGTCGATGGATCATTTATTTCGAAATAAGAATTCAAACGATTATTCAGAGCAATTGAGAAAAAATATTCGTGGTAGTCAAGATATGATGACAACAACAACGGATTCTACACGATCATTAAACGATCACAATGGACAATTGAAAAAGTAAGACCTGTGAATAAACAGTCGACTGTAGAAGAATCAAATCTGTGTTCGGCTTCTAATAAGAAGCGTAGTCTATTGACGGGACAATTTCCCTCTTTAAAAGTTTGTTTTCGTTTTTTATTTTTCCCAGCAAAAATAAGCTTTAAAAATTTATTACCCTCTTATCGTCTCTCTTGATATAAGCTTTATTCCGACAGAATACAAGCGGAAAAATATTCCATTATAGTATTCTAAACTAAAACTATCGAAAAACACAAAATCAATTTTGTGCAAATAGAAATTCGAACGCATGAACTTAGCTTTGCAGTAAACTGCAAAACTAAATCCACTATTCTGTGTCTATATTCTGTACAACGATTGAAGTTATGCAATCGGCCCGATGTTACTAGTAGTAATTTCTTTTGTCGTCTCTCTTAGTATTTTTATTCTGATCTACCCATGTCGGAGTCCACTTGTGCATTGATGCCTTACAATAATGTTTTTTCTTCGTTCTTTCAGTCAATCGCTTCACCGTTTATTAGCATCAGAATTTTCAGCTGGTAACCCATTACATGTAACACAACTTAGACGAATGGGCGTGCAAATACATACAATGTTAGATGGAAGTAGGTACACGCCTGTTGTTGATCAATCAAACGAATAATAACCTTCTTTTTATATCCTGTTTAGGAATTCAATTGGTGCACACGTCGTCGCAAGCGGCTTCAAGTGAAGATGCGAATGATGGTCTGTTATTTATGCAGGTATGTGTGTTGCTCCTTTACACTTTTTATCAACCTAGAAATTATTTTTTTTGTATAGGAAATGATTGAATTAATGAAACACAACTCTATGAATTCTGACTCCAGTCAATATCACCCTCTCAGTGTTGTTCCATTATTAGCGCAAGCAACAGTACTTCCAATATTCAAGGTGGGCTCAGCACAGTTTGGTCAACAATTACATAAAAACTATGGAGTAAGTTAGATAACGAAACTAGTCTGTCTTTGAGGATATTTAAAACGAATCAGCGGCTGAAAAGTAGTGAAGAGTTATTCATTCTTCTTCGTCGTGCTTAACTTGAGGATGCAACCACAGAAAAAATGAAACTTTAGACGTGTATTTGTACTCTGGGTTTAGATATTTAGTCGTGTATCTGTAACTAGTCCGTTTCAAGCATGTTCAACTTTGGATAATCGTCAACAGCTAAAGAATAGTATAGCTCTTGTGAAACGCGGTGATTGTATGTTTATCGACAAGGCAAGATATTTGGAACAAACAGGTGTTCTAGGTGGCATTGTGATTGATCATTCCTCTGCATCTTCAACAAAAACTGGTGTATCAGCAATATTCTCAATGACGGGTGATGGCAGAGACGATGTGCATATTCCACTGGTGCTCATGTTTAAAGATGAAGGATTCCAGCTGTTGAATCTATTATCGAAACAAAATGATTTGATTGTTTATATGGGAGATCAAGAAAAAATATTAGGTAAGTGAAAAGCGTTTCGGTCCACTTTGGTTTTGCTGAGTGAACGCATTAGTTGAACGTTTACAATCTCTAATTCGCTGTTTGTGTGTCTAGAAAGTTTTTACCACCATTTGAAATGGCTCGATCGTCTTCATATTCCTGTCATATCATCGTCAAACTCATCGTATTGCTCTCATTTCGATTACGTATCAATAATTAAAATGAAGTACCAATGTCAACCAGTTCCATTTTCATTACTTGGTTATGAACTCATATTAAAGAAAATGTTCATTCACCAGCCACAGCACACAGAGTCGAACTCCCCAACTCAACCATTGACATCGTTAGATAATTATCTATTATCTGTTCCATTAACATCACCTACTATCCAAACAGACCACCAGTTCGATGCGGCTGTCCAACTCATCTTGAATCAATCAGGAGATAAGCATGTGTCAATTAATCTCGAGTCGATCATGCAAACCGGTAAATATTTTGCTTTATTTGTGTAGTCTGACTTGACTGGTCTCGCTCAAATAGCCATTTTAATTCCATAGTTTACTTTTTATTAAGGTGGTCCAAAGTCTGTAGACCAAGTAACATCAGAATTGTTTGATCGTTTAAAAACAACGACGAATTTTGCTCAATTAACAAATCTTGAGGAATATATGTCTGTTCTCACAAAAGTTGTTAAATTAGCTTTAAATGATAAAACAGAGTTGGATTTGAGCGAACAAACAGTTATAAGTACTCTCATTAATGAGTTAAATGTTAGAAATAATGACAATTCTTCTAAGAGTACGGACGAAGGCGAGAAGAGTACATCAACAGTACAATCGCCCACATCTTCTAGTTTAGACTCAATGCCATCGCCACCTTCCACTGAATCCATATCTTCCATGGAACATGAGCAACCTGCCGAAGCATCTGATCAGAGAGAATATACAGAAAAAAGGACGCCAAAGGAAAATTAAGAAGAAAATCTTGTTTTCATTGTTAGTTTTCCTTATGTTTTCGTGCTCTGTTATCCGGTGCTCAATTTTCTTTTTTTTATTGTTGTTTGTTCTTTCTAGTCTTTTTTGCATCACGAGTTGTTTATGTTTTTCTTTTTTGGTGTAATTCGGCCAGAGAAATCTCTTTCTGTTATTTCATTTATGTATATCTGTAAAAGATACTCGATACATTTTTTGTTTTATATCAGTGCGAAAATCGAACTTGTTCTCTTTTTCGCTTTGTTTTTGTTTCCATTGATAGAGTTATATTTTTATTATATACGGTTTGCATTCTGCTTTTTTCGGTATTTGGGTTATATGTGAATATGTTTGTACTCAATAAAGATGCCAAAACAAATGCTGAAAAATAAAGAAGTCAGCGGAGCAAGCTCGTTGTAAAAGTCATAAGTGAAAGTTGAAATAAGATCAGAAATTGAATTGAAAATGTATGGAGCTGATTAATTCCAGTATTATTACCTGTTCGATAGTATGAAATATTGGTGTTGCAGCACTTAATTCATCTAGGAAACTGATTTTATTGTAATGAAGGAAGAAATGGTTTGTGTTGTTGCTACGTGCATAGCATACACTTGTAGTAATATTTTCGGTTACGGTAAACATTACTCTCATTAGCCGGTACCGGTGGTATTCGAAAGAATAAAATTACACAAAACGTCAAAACAGAAAGCTGACGTAACGGGTTCGGGAGAAGACACATGGGAGGAGTATCTTAGTGCATCGAATAATGGGAAATTATTTATTATTATTATTATTTTTTTGAAGCAGAGGACGATAGAGCAGTTCTGTTGTGTTTTTAATATAATAGTACACCCCCCAAAACAGTTGAGAATTCTTTAAATATTGATTTCTCATGTGAAAATGAATTTTAGAAAAACCTGTTGATTTAGAAAGTGGATAGATCAGTGTTGTTTATGCAGTACAATAGTTCCGGTCAGAACCTTATCTTCTGCCGGATCTTGACTTGGAAACGAATGCTTGAATATTCAAAAGGTTCTGTAGACCATATTGTTTTTAGAGACTGCAGTGTTCTTCTGTGTACAAAATTCGTGTGAAAATAAATGTCAAAGTGTGATTAGCATGAATTTTGGTCGTACAAAAGAAGATCAGGATTAGTAACGTTTCCAGTTTAATGTGTTAGTAGTTGTGATTATAGGTAGAAACGGGGCAACAAACCTTCATGAACTCTCGACTAAATTGTGACAAAGTTATCTAGTATTTTGAAAGAAGTTTTTAATACCTTGACCTATCAATTATACTTTTTTGTAGAATGAAATATGTGGCAAATTCTGCTGCACTACTCAGATTTTCAGAGCGCAGTTGTATATCTGTGGTAAGTTAAAAGTTGTGAAAGTGTATGAAAAAGTCTCAACGCAAGACGTTCTATGGTGGCTTGCCTTACGTTCAGCAAATTTCTTTCAAATCTATCGAATAAAACCATCGTTCATAGATAAAGTTAGTAAAGGCCAGTTCAGATTTCCATGACGTATGTTTTTCTGTAACTAAATAAGCGGTATTTTTAAACAAGTTTATTTAAGGGGGGGGGGGGGGGGGGGGGGGGGGGGGGGGGGGGGGGGGGGGGGGGGGGGGGGGGGGGGGGGGGGGGGGGGGGGGGGGGGGGGGGGGGGGGGGGGGGGGGGGGGGGGGGGGGGGNNNCCCCCCCCCCCCCCCCTCAGAAATGGTGATTTTCGGTCAAAACATCGGTTTTGAGATAAGCAGATGGAAAGATAGCCTGAAGTGTTGACTTCCAGAATCTGTATTGCTTTTGGTTACAAAACTGGTTTTTCGGGAATTCTGAGCAGGTTTCCTAAGAGCCTCGAAAAAACAGGTCTTCAAATAATGGCTTTTACCTGGATACTTATGCAATTAAAATTTTTCTGAGAACACAGCTTTGTAGAACAAACATTTCTGATCAAAATAAGACCTCGCACAACTCTGTATGGCCTTGCATCGAAAAGTTACAGGCATTTTCCTACAAGTCCTAAAACCGAGTATTTCATACAGCGTTTAATACAACGTTTTCTCTATATAAGAGTTACAGCTGAAGTGCGTCCCAAGATTTTTAATAGCGGTTTGTCGTAGAGAGTTCATTCTTTTTTTGTTTAAAAGAGGAAAAGAAATTACATCGACTGACCGGCGTCGATTTTTGAATTAGGTCTTAGTTTTTTGTCAACTGAGGATTTTTAAAAAATCCGGAAGGCTTTTTCGGGTTTCGGAGGTTGTTGGTTGCCTGGAGAACCAATAAAGGCTTAATTGAAAAATCGGCGCCGGTCAGTCGATGTAGTTAGGTGTCTAGTTTAAAATAAAACAAACCCGAACTCTCCAGCTTGAAGTATATTAAAAAGTCTTGGGACGCCGTTCAGAGTCCTTTTTGGACCTTGATCTCTGAAAAACTCCTAAACCGTAAGACTTGGAGGCCAGTTGTCCCTGGATCAGCCGAAAATAGGCCTAGAGAGGGGTAATCGACCATGCTGAGTCAAATGATGATGTTTGTTTCCAGTCTCAAAGCTATCTGAAGTCACCAGCTCAAAGTTTTCGAAATTCAACTGTTTCCGCTATGTACCAGAAAGTGACGATGTTTCGAAAACTTTGAGCTGGTGACTTCAGATAGCTTTGAGACTGGAAAAAAACATCATCATTTGAGTCAGCATGGTCGATTACCCCTCTCTAGGCCTATTTTCGGCTGAACCAGGGACAACTGGCCGAAATAGGGGGCCTCTGGAAAATCCGTATAACTCCTGAACAGAACAAGGTAGAAACACCGGCTTTACGTAGTTCGAAAGAAAACAATTTTCTCTATCGAATATATGTGTTAAAAATGAAAATCCAATATTGGATCCTTGAAAATCATCGTGGATTTCTAAAGATTCACCTGAAAACCCTCTAGATACCCGGTCGAAAATTTTTCTTCTTCTGTAGTTATAGTATCGTATATTTGGGATCCTATAGTAGTGAGCATTACGGTAGTAACATGCTTGCTCGTTTTTCTACCCAATGAAAGCTCTCTTAGTTTTTATAGTTTTGAAACTTTTCGAGCAATGGATGAGGCACTTAAATACGCTTCTGATTCTTTTATTGTAAATTGGATACTAACCTTAGGAGTATCCATCAGTTTCGGAGTTAAGCACATTTAACAGCTACATCGTTTTCGTAATATTACGCTTGAATATTATCAATCGTAAGAAAGACTGGGAAAAAGAAAAATTTTCTAGGCATTTAACAATAACAGTATTTTTCCACATACCTAATGTTAGCAGCCAATACCAATATAAACGAATTTATCACTGTAAATACATCAATCATCAATAATGTTATAAAGTAAGGTGTTCCATCACAAATACTCTCTCGTATGACATCTAAATCTTCGACGCGTAAATTAAGTAATTTGCCTAGGTTTTTAACATTGAACCAAGCAATATCTGGAAAAGAAGTTAATTCTTTTATCCTAAAATTATTGATTAGACTGTACAATAACATTTCCTTAATGTATTATACTTCCAAATAGATTTTAAGCAATATTTAAATGAAAGTAGATGGATGAGTTTTGAAAACATAATAATAGACAAGGAAAACATAACATACTCAATGTATCTCATATATTATCTCAACGGTTACCATGAAAAGCAGAGAGAATAGAATATACATTTCCATACCCGAATAACACATATTTGGGAATAGTTTTTGCCAAGTGGTGCACGATACCTTTCTCTGAGAGAACAAAATTAGATAAATTTAGAATCCAAGGGTGTCAATATTGTTCGCATAATACAATTATTTTTATTATAAACCTGGTAGTACAAAAAGTTAAACTTGTTGGCGTATTATAATCAAGGAGATAAGATGGTCCCTTTTTCAATCAGGAAGGGATTAAATCCTTCGTTGACAGTTGTTTCTAATGGTTTAAATAGATTCAATTGTTTTAAATCTGTCCATTTCACCCATTTCCATTCATCGCATTTCGTCGGTTCCATACATTTTAGTTTTAATAATTCTTGTTCATCATCTAATTGAGCTAACATAAATAGTGTCACATAATGTTTCCCAATATCTTCAAACAAATTATTTGTTACATAAACTAATTTGGGTACGCTATTTAACGTCAAATTTGTTTCTTCTTGCAGTTCTCGTCTAGCACAGTTAACAAATGATTCACCATATTCCAAATGGCCACCTGGAAGTTGATATGTACCAGTTCCATGGCTACTTAAACGCCTTCCTAATAAAATACATTGCGGATGTAAACTGGACAATAATATTGTAGCAACGCCCACTAATGGACGAGACGTTGTCAAAGCTGGGTTAGTCTCCATACAGACAGATTCATATGTCGGAAAGAATGCACTAAAATAATATGTTACCATTACCAATAATTATATTTGGCGTGAGTTTTGTCTCACTACAAAAACGTTTTAAAAAGTAGAAAGCTGTTTCGAGTAAGACAAAATCCACGTTCAACATGGCAATAGCATAAACATGGCAAACACTAAAACTTTAAACTGACATGCCTGTTACCATAGCTGAATCACAAACGAGTATCGTACCAAACGTTATATGAGTATTCAACGATACTCAAACATGAGTACTCAAAGTCGTACCCATAATACTGAGTACTCACTCATGGGTACTCATGGGAGCAGCGGCGTAATCAGGATTTTTAGACCGATGGACAAACTTCTATTGTGTCGGAAAAAACGATGGGCAAAATGGGCAAGGTTTTTACTGATGGGCCAAACAAAATATGATCGGGCCGGGACAGGTTTGTTTTGTGTATAGCTAGGGTCCCGCGTCTTGTAGAAACTTGAATGAAATGAAATGAGGTTCTTTTAATCAAATATGCATCAAACTCAAATCTTAAGCCTAAGTCAGGTGTGTTTTAGTCTGTTTTTAGTGTCTCTGTTTATAATATTTATATTTCAAATTCAAACACCAAAATCAAGACGACGATGATGCATTTGTGTATATAATTTCAATATTTCATCTGGATTTATATCGAGATCTTTGAATGTATGCAGCAGCAAGTCCGTTTAGTCTATTTCGTTTCATTGTAAACCGACGATAACTTTTAATTCATGTGTCAACTTTAATTCATGTGTCAACAAAACCCTCTAGATACCCGGTCGAAAATTTTTCTTCTTCTGTAGTTATAGTATCGTATATTTGGGATCCTATAGTAGTGAGCATTACGGTAGTAACATGCTTGCTCGTTTTTCTACCCAATGAAAGCTCTCTTAGTTTTTATAGTTTTGAAACTTTTCGAGCAATGGATGAGGCACTTAAATACGCTTCTGATTCTTTTATTGTAAATTGGATACTAACCTTAGGAGTATCCATCAGTTTCGGAGTTAAGCACATTTAACAGCTACATCGTTTTCGTAATATTACGCTTGAATATTATCAATAAAATCTAGGAAACTGATTTTATTGTAATGAAGGAAGAAATGGTTTGTGTTGTTGCTACGTGCATTGCATACACTTGTAGTAATATTTTCGGTTACAGTGAACATTACTTTCACAACATGCACCAGCAGAATGGATTCAGGAAACTAATCTGTATGCTGTCTAGAAAGGTGCTATGCAGAAACTTTTAAGTGTTCAGAAAATCGATTCCGTTTCACAAGGTTTAATAAGTTCGACAGAAGACAAAGTTATGTGAGAAACGTTCTTACGTATTAAATAACAAGTGTGCCCCCCCCAAACAGCTGAATTCTTTAAATATTGATTTCTCGTGTGAAAATGAGTTTTAGAAAAACCTGTTGATTTAGAAAGTGGATAGACCAATGTTGTTTATGCACTACGATAGTTCCGTACAGAATCTTATCTTCTACCGGACCTTTGAGAAATTCGGGAATATAGAGGCAGCTCTATATACAGCAGCTACAGTGGTTGCGAAAGTGATGATGGTTGTTTGAGATGAAAAGATGTTTCAGCATTTTGGCTAGGAATTTCTGAGCAAGGTTTTTGTTTAGGACTATTCCACTAAAGTACTAACACATCTTCATTTGTAAAAAGTCTGTTATCGTCCTTGGATGGTTTTTGTACTTTTCATGGTTCCTTTCGAATTTGGAAGAGATACCTGCGTGTATTCGCTCATTGTTTCTGAACATGATTAATGACTGAAGGACATTTCGTCCTGCTCGGAATTAGAATATTGTTCTTTTGGAAACTCGACTGAGATCCTCTGTTACGAGGCTCTTGACTTATTTCGTACATGGATACGTAAACAGATAACGAATCCAGGAGTAGCTAACCGTGGGTTAGATATAATTTTCTGTCGTTGTACGGTAAGTTTTTCTGAACTGTGACAAAATCTATGTGCTAAGAGTCTGGAAGTTGTGGTCTTGTGTTGTGATAATGTGAGTGTGATAACCGTGACTCATTATTTTTTGATTGTCCCGTATACACTCAACTTTTTTTCTAACTGACAACAAAATCTATATATCAAATCGATTTAAAACCAGTTCTATGATTATATTCTGTTGTTTTTGTCGACTCAGTTAAGGTTCTGAAAGCCGTATGTAATTACATTGTTAACTCAAAAATATTCTTTATTGTGTCGATCTAATTTCCGGAATATGAAATAAATGGATTACTGTTGAATGAGATATCGAAAGAGTTCTCCTGTGCCCAACCTAAAACTACTATAGAATCACCTGTCTTTTCACTTACATTTTGTTTTTTAGTTATATTACATAACTAGTTAATTTTTTGTGATTGTTAGTTTCATGGATTCCACAATACGGGAATTTTGAATGCCTTTTGATAGGTCAATCTTCTCATAGTCTTTTACTTTTGTATATATAACAGATGGCTAACAATACATATTTGATCATTTGATACAAATATTAATCTGTCAATCAACGTTTTACATTGCAAATTCATTTATTGGTATTCTAAATTATGACAAGTCTGTAGTAGGTCTCTTCGTACAATAATGCATATTCATGGTTTAAAATATAACTTGTTTTTTATCAGGAAAAAAAACGGAATTGTTATATTATGAATAATACAAAAAAAAAAAAGAACACCAAAAGAGTTTTTGAAAAAAACTAGCAATAGACGTATTTAAATTAGATATTTTATTTTGATACAAATATTTTTTTATTTATCTAAGCCAAGATTGAGTGGATGATTGGGAATTTCATTTAAGAAGAATTTTTTCATAAATTCAGAAAACAAATTATAATCCATTGGTTTCTTGCCATGATCAGTAATAAAATCGTAGGCTTTTTCAGCTAAATATAAATATAAAATAAGTTTATATAGTATTTAAATTAGAAAACAATTTTACACTTACCAGCAGCTTCATCAATATCCCATGATATGAGCATACTGGCAAATTCATCTTTTGTTGCTGAACGTTCATCTTAAAAAGAAAAGAAATATGAGAGATAGATTGATCAATTAAAAACAATGATAACAAAATATTACCTAAGAACTCTGTTGCTCTATATAATGCTTTGTGAAGACCTTGAAATATCATTAGTATGTTTATAATCATTGTTTAAATGATAATAATAAAAATATACATACCTTCATACCATTCGGGAAATTCATTTTTATCTTTTAAACCGCGAATAATATCATTCATTACATCGAGCCATTCCTCTAAAATAAAAACATTATATCAATAATAAAGAGAATTTTATTAATTTAACAGAAAAAATATTTTTACCTAAATCAATATTTCCATCTTTATTTGCATCACCTACTGCACATAAATCCCAAAAATATTTTTGAAAATGTTGTTCTAATCTTTTACGTAAAACTTTCAAACGAGCATTACGTACGGCATCTTCTTTGGGTACAATAGACTAAATATGATACTTAACTATATTCAACAAATTACTAAGTAAATTATAAAATTCTTTAATTTATTTTTTTTATCTCATTTAATCGATATAAATCAGACTATTTATTTATTTTCAAAATACTTACCTCAATAGCCGCTTCAAAATCTGTCCAATTAACCAAACCATCATTATTTGTATCTAGAATATATTATAAAATTATAATAATTTATAGTTATAACAGATAAAAATATAAATCATACCCAATGTTTTTGTAAAAAATTGTTCAAGTTTTCTAAGTGATTGTTTAGGAATATTATCGCGCGGCATTGTTTCTATTGTGCTTATTTAAAAACTAAGGAAATATAATTAATTTAATCTATAATTAAGAATATGTTTATAGTATATATGTTGTGAAGAGAAAGAGAGAAAGAGAGAGAGAGAACACTTTAGTGTTTTATGCGATGAGTATTAAAAAACAGAAAAAATGTGTGTAATGCTGTTTGTGCTCTATAATAATAAAATAACAACAACAACAACAACAATAAAACAATGGACAGGATCAGTGAGGTAAAAACTATTTCAACGATCAATATTAGACGTTTCTAACTATTTATTTACAGAAGAATAATTATTCTGTATAAAAAAAAACAACAACGTCTATATTGTACCATTAATATTATTCTTTCGTCGAGAAGAAGAAAAAATGTGTATATATCAGACACCAACAAGATAAAAATCAACCATCAACATATATAGACATATGCACCGAACTAACAATTCTTCTCTCTGATCTAGTTTTATCCTACTATATATGATGTAGTAGGTCATACCATAGTACGCCGGTAATCTTTTTCTCAAATTGTCGTATGTAAAATGGCTGATATGACCAACTTTACAGAAATCGTATATATTCGACTAGAGTTGACTATTTATAAACAATATTAATTTTCTTATGTCACTTCTTATAAATATGTTTTTTTTTTCAATAAACACAAAAAAAATTCAACACTATCTCACAACAATGAAAAAAAATAGTTAATTTTTGTTTTGTTTTTCTGAAAATTTTTCAAAACGAAACAACTATCTATTTGCCATATATTCTATATCTATATCTAAACAAAAACCTTCTTTTTATCTGTTGTTTGTTGCTTGCTAAGAACAATATATATATATATATAGATATGTAATAGGACCTAAAACGCTGAATATCTTATAAAGATATCACTCTAATATATTTTTTACCTTACATCCATTCGAACATATAACGATGAGAACTATGTAGTTGGAATGAAACGTCTTTCTGGAGTAAATAAATCAATATAGCCATAAAAGAACGATCTTTTTCTCTTTTTTCTTCTGTCTGACACTTCCCGATTAACATGCATAGTTTGTTATAAGGTGTTTTCTACGAAACATTGAGTTGCACTATTCTTTTTTTTCCCCCTATTTCTGAATCGAAACGCTTAATAATGTAGATCCTATTTTTGGCAGATTCATGCGGAAATTTTCTTCTTCATTTCTATCATGGTGGATCCAAAAAAAGAACGACTTATCAGAATACGGTGTTGTTTTTTTCTGGAATATGATATCATAGAAAAGAGATGCAGTGTGTGTATATCAAAGAAGTTCGTATAATGTAAAGGTTGATATGATAATTTCAAGAATATTCCTTTTACGAAGACATAAAAATACTATGATGATGTTAAGATGATCTAACATCCTCTTCATCTTTGATATCAAGCGTGTTTCACAAATTTAAATATAGAGAAAGTTAAACTCAAGATAAAAGTAGTTTTGCACTTTGTATCGTTTGTTGCACTTGTATCTAAATTGTTACGATACAATTTCACTTGTATTTGATCTCATAAAAAGTCAGAAGAAGGTCTCGTCTAAAAAAAAGTCAGAAGAAATGAAAAGTTTAATTGACAGTTATTCAAAATTTGTTAATGAAAAGTTCGTCATTATTAGCACACAAGAATTGAAGATGTATCAAATTTTGAATACTATTGTTTATTAAAGTGAAGTGAATAAATATTTCAAAAAACTATCAGTTAATTATTTTGAATTTTAAAATTACCGAATGTAATATTTCATTCTCTACAAGAAATATACTGAACATTTTTCTATATAACCTAAAAATAAGAAGCTATAGAGAAAATACTATAAATATGCAATCTCGAGTACTTCCAAGGCCAAAGAACAGTTTTGTCAGTTTAATTCCTTTCATTTTGTGATATGCAAAAAAATTGAAGATAGTTATTTTGTACCATTCGAAAAATTGTATTCACTGGCAAGATTTTAAATTCTTTGTCATTACAAGTGGTTGGGAGCAAATTTGGCTTTCTTTTTTTTCTATTTGCCAGAAATTATTATTTCAGTTCGCTATTTTCAGGCACTTGGGAATATTTTTCGAACTGCGCCAAACTCGAACATTTTAAGATTGGATCTGCTTTATTTGAAAAATAACGCTGCTGTTACATTCGAACGGAAAAAGTTCTGTAGTTCCGTTACTTCTATCGTGCTAACGAGAGAACTATCCCAAGTGTTAATCACAGATGCTAACGAGAGGTACCCCAATCGATAGAGCTCGACGAGCTGATTCTAGTGGCATAAAGCATTTTCCCCAATGTTTCTTGAAGACCCAGTTTTCTAGAAAACCAGTTTTTCAGAAACTTTAAAAAATAACCAAAACATTTTTAAATAAGATATAATTGTAGCGCGCACATTTCTGATTAAAATGAGACATTCACCAGCTCTACATGACGTTTATTTGCAAAGTTATAGAATTTACAA